AAAACAGGTTTTTTTAATTATCATACTTAATATTAGTAATACAAGAAAAATTTTAAATGCCTCTGTATCTACTCTTAAAATAAGCAGATAGGTCATCTGGTACTTTTTTGAAATTCGTACCTTTAAGGGGTGAAAATGTGTAACAAAGGTGATTTTGGTACCTTTTTTGGTCTTTAAAACTTTTTAACTAATAAACAAAATAACATTTTTGTTATTTTGTTTATTTATTGAAAAAAATGTTTGCTATTTCACTGGGGAAAAAAAGCACCAAAAAGGGCAAAAACGGGAAATTAAATTTTATTCAAACTCATTGAGCCAATTTTTATAAAATTTGAAAACGTTGTTTATTTACTCACACAAAATAAGCAATTGGTATATTATTTTGGAATTCGAGTACTAAGGCCTATATAGGGCCAAATTCGAATAAATTGTTTGGTACCTTTTTGAAAGCACAATTTTTCTGGAACAAATGAAAGCAGATTTGAATAGTTTGAGTTTTATCTGTGATATATAGTTTTAAATACGGAACATTTTGTAAAAAGTATATTTCTAAGCCAAAAAGGGGAAAAATTGTACTATTTTTATTAGTACTTTCCACTAAGGTATTTATTCCACTTTTGGTACTTTTTCATTCTTCAAATGATACTCTGTATGTTCTATGATATGAATTCAAAACACGTGATTATTCAACATACACGGTCCTCATTAAAAAAGATTCTTTAAGAGAGATCTTTTTAATACTTTTTGAATTTTCTAAAATATTCCATCTAGGAGCATTAATTTTAACATACACGGTCTTGACTGAATAATATTCTATAAGTGGGTACTCTTTGGTAATTTTCCATTCTTCAAATGATACCTTTTGGTTTCTTTATAATGGTTAACCGGAACACATCCTTATTAAATGGGAATTTATTAAAAGAGATTTTTGTACTTTTTCGTTTTTCCGATGGTACTTTTTGATATTTTTACGATATTGAAAATAGAAATATAAAATTTAAAATATAGGGACCTTAGTTTATGAGAATCTACTGAATGGGACTTTTGGTGCTTTTTTATTCATCAAATTATGTTTTTTGAATTGTCAATAATATTGAACACAGAAACATAAAACTTTTTTTTTTTTTTATTTATTTATTTTAGTCTATGGAAATATTCCTTACAGACTATTTAACAATTTATAAAATTATTTAAATTTAAACATAGAATAACGTTAATTATTTAGATTATATAATATATTTCTTTTTATAACTTCAACATTTAAAGAAAAATCAACAAAGTTAAACATTTCGTTAAAACAGCAACATAACTTTCTAAAAGGATCTGCCATAGCGAAATTTGTTCGAAACGTTTTGACGTATAATGGATTATTAAATCGTAATTGACGTTGAGGAACATTTAAAGAAATTTTACTTAATAGAAATTCAGAACATACAGTTCCATTTAGAAGATTTATCATAAATGACACATTAAGCATTGTCCTGCGACTTTTCAGTGTTGGTAGATTTATCAAAGCAAGTCTTGCTGCATACGGTGGCAGTTCAGAATAGTTCCCATATATGCTCTTTAAGCAAAATAATAAAAATTGTTTTTGCACAGATTCAATATGATCAATATGCACATTGTAATACGGGTCCCATACGACTGATCCATATTCCAATATCGGCCGTACAAGAGAAGCAAATAGTCGTTTAGTTATAAATGGATCATTAAATTCTTTTGACCATCGTTTAATGAAGGCTAAAATGCTACGGGCTTTATTAACAATAATTGTTATATGTTGAACAAAAGTCAATTTTGCATCCAGCAAAATTCCGAGATCCAGAATGGTGTCAACAGATTAAATAAGAGGTATTTTATAGTACATACTTTTTTCAAATAGTAATTTCGAAATTTTCTATAATGTGGAAGCTAAACGATTGAAACTAAAAATACAAGATTCTTCCTGAATGTGAATTTATTCACGTGATAAACTGAAACATTAAAAAATATTTAAATCAATTTTAATTTTCTATAAAAGTAAACAAAATTTTGTATGTGCTTCGCTACCCTAGTTAAGTATAATTGATTAGTTAAGTATAATTGATTCGAAGAAGTTGTATTGTCCGACCCTCGTTGGAAAAATCTGTACGTTTGACATTATATTTAAATCCCAGTTAATACTTTGAAGATTGTTCTGTTTGTCGTCTTTGTATTTGTGCACACAACACATTTACAATAAAAACATTGTTTACATGAAATTTATGTGCTGCTTGTTAATGTTTTTTTCATATCAGTATTATTTCGATGCTTCTGTACTTTCTTGCTTTGTTCGCAGGAAACTCTTGTTTCGTTTTATATAAAACATACTGCTCCTTTGAGCTAGGATTATTGTTATAGAACCCGTGCAACAATACTCTCTAATACTTAAGCACTGCAATGTCGCACAGTGGTGTTGGAAAGCATAAAAGGGAAATACATATGGAAATACATATGGACAATTTTGTGTAAAGTAACCCAACTTTTAAAAGCGATGTCTTTTGATTTGGATAAAATTTGCACCGAGGTTAGTACTATTGAAGAGTTAGCCAAATTTTCAGCTCTATCGGTTCTTTTCTCTACCACTGTGTGACGCAGATATTCTACCAAAAGATAACTTGTTGTGGCAAATGTTCTTTCCTTCTTTCATAACCTATTATAAAGTATCAGTGTTTTGTAAAGCACTCTGCTTATAACTTGACATTGACATTCATACCAAGGCGTTTTTTTTTCCCTTCTTTGTTTTTTTTTTTTTTTTTGTTTGTTTGTCTTCGGTTTTGTTTTGGTTTGCTTCCGTGTTAGTATTTTCCTTGTTTCTGTTTTGTGTTTAGTGTCGCTCACAGTATGATTTGCTTATTTAAAATTAAATAGCTCTCCTCCCAACATATATATTTATGTACAATCTCATTGTTAATGGCCAATATAAAGTTTAACATTTATACTAATCAATTTGTTATTATTATTTTTCGTAAACCTATTGTCATTATTTAGGACACTAATAGAATGGGGATAATTTTAATCAATATATCGCTCAATTATTTGAAGAATGTCATTATTTTAGTCTTTTTTAAGATTTTTACTGATCTAAACTTTCGTAATAATTTGATCAAATTTAGTTTGTAGTAGAACATAAAAGATATTTGAAAATAGTTGGAATAGGTCCATGTTCGTTCCCAGTTATTTCGCTCTCTCTTGTATGTTATGCGAGATAAAAGTTACTCCAATTTCAGAAAAATATCCTTTTCAGTTTTCACTGTAGTACTGTATAGTTTACAACAAAAAACAGACATTACAACTGGCTGTTTGTTATGGCATGGTGTTGAAATAATTATTTTTTTTAATCGTTGTTTAATTGCAGACTGCAAGACAGACACGCTTTATGTTTTATGGCTTAATAATTTTAAATATTCTTTTTTCAAAAGCGTATTATTTTATATTTAAATTACTATGGCGCGGCTTTAAATATCGCAATCAGATTTATAAATGGGCAATTTCGTATCTAATGGCTCAACAGACACAAATGTTCTATAGGTCAAGAACTGCCGGATTTAAAGGGGGTCAAAGTTGGACATTTCGGTCATACAAATTTGTCCAAAGGAGTTCAGATAGATATTTCTTCATTGTTTCCAAAAAAAATAATTTTTTTAAATTTGAAATAATTTTTTTTTTAATTTGTGTGTGGCCTATTATCCAATAGTACTAACCTTGGTGAAAGTTTCATCCAAATCGATTTTTTGAGTAGGGTTACTTGACACGAAATTTCCCAAATAATAAAAACAAAACATTTTTCCATAAATTTTCTATATTGAAACTGTTTCATATTAATTGATAATTAAGATTAGGTTAAGATGAGAAAAATATTAACACCTACTTTATATAACAGGTTTTATTTTATAAATCAAGTTTAAAACGTATTAAAAAGTAGTAAAATGTCATAAAACATAAAACTTCTTTTTACTCAAAACGAAGTTTTGTCTTGTAGAAAATCAGCGATTTGTCAAGCCGTTTGTATAAAATTCGGCATAGCATTGTTACTTGTCCATTTGAACTTTTTTAATTTCATTGAAGTTTATTATGAATCGTAATATAATATTTCGTCAGAGCAAAATTAAAAAAAAAGTTTCAAAAATTTAGTATAGGGACACCTTATTAAAAACACCTTATTAAACGCGTGGCATTGGAAAGACGCAGAATCAAACAATAGAATGCTGTTGAAAAATAAAACTGTTATAAAAACTATGTACATATGCTACTATGTATAGATACATACATATATTGTTTGGAGTTAAAATGTATATAAACATTGTATAGGCAATAAGTTTACAGCATTCGATGAGCCACAAAATGTTGTGAATAACAGGAAAAAAATGACATCCTTTTCAACCCTATACTTTTTTAGACTATAGTTATTTCATAATGTATTTATAATAAATCACGTAATAAAATATTTTTAAGACGAATAACTGTAACAAAAGGTTGCAACAATAACAAGCAACATTGTCTAGATACACTGGAATAAACAAGAATAGATACATAATAAAACTAATTTTCGGAGTTTAAAATAACATGTTTCTAAATATTATTTCAGCATTGAGTATATAACAACATATGTTGCGCTACACAATGTGGTGAATATAAAAAGGCGGTTTTGTTTATAAGGGCAATTTGATGTCCTTTTCACCTCTGTACTATTTTTGACTTTATTTATTTTAGAATGATTTTATAATATTTGCTGCTGCGACACAAACAACACATGTCAGTCTACAACGACAAGTGTAAGATAACACAACGATAAATAAAAATAAAAATAATAATAATAAAAATAATAATAAAACCAAAGTGTTTATAGTAAAATATTAAATAAAAATATAGAAAAGTGCTTATATAAATAAAATTTAAATAAAAAATAATAAAAAGAAATAAAAAAACAAAATTTAAATAGAGTGAAAACAAAACAAGCATTTACCAAAAAAATAAAAATATATATTTCAAAACAAAATAAGAAATTCGTTTTTATATTGTGATAAATATAGTGTTTTCATCACGGAGTTATTAACTTTTAACGCGGCTTTTACGTCGTGGCCCATTAAATCAACTGTTTTGGCACTTATATCCAACGAGTCTTATGCAGTCAATGAAACTGTTACAACGATTGCACTCAACAATGCATATTTGGCCTTTGCGAACTTGACCCAAAGTAACATTACTGCGCATACTACAATTGCAGCAACATACTCAACCCCCACACTTTTACTATCACCATCAACAACATTCCCAACCGCAACTAGTAGCAGCACCATCTCCAGCAATGTCACCCAACAACGTCAGTCTACGCGCAGCAATGCATTCGAAGTACCCATATGGTTGATTCTGTGTTACAGTGTAATATTACTTTGCGCCATTGTTGGCAACCTGTTGGTTATTTCAACACTCGTACAGAATCGTCGTATGCGTACCATTACAAATGTATTCCTACTTAACCTTGCCATCTCTGACATACTGTTGGGTGTCCTTTGTATGCCAGTAACCCTGGTGGGTACATTACTGCGGCATTTTATATTTGGAGAATTTTTTTGTAAACTGATACAGTTCTCGCAAGGTAAGTGGTTGGGAAAATCGTTTTGTGCATCAGTTGTTTACAATTGTTGCCAAAGACACTTAAGCTGCTTGTAACAGAATGTAATAGGTGCAAAATTGCTTTGTGAGGAAAAAATTGTAATTTGCAAAGTGTTGAATAATTTACATAAATAAATATTTGTAATTATTATTTTTGTAGAACATAAACAAATTATAAAAAATTAGAATAGTTTCTATACAATAAATCCCAATTTAGAAAAAGCGGAATTTTAAATTTATGTACAGGTTTATGACTTTTTGAGTTTTTTACTTTTTTTCATAAATTTACACAAAATGTCCATAAAAATATTTAAAACCGTTTCCGTTTATTTGAAATTTAAATATTTTTGATATTTATGTACCAAATATTCTGGTTTTGAAAAGAAAAATTTCCGATCCGTTAGAAAGGTATACTTTGGTATCTGGGTTAAACGTATCACTTGGTCTCAGCTTTTCTACTTTGATACTATGACGATTTAGCCATGTCCGTCCGTCCGTCTGACTGTTGAAAGCAGGATAGAATCCGAACGGAGAGAACTGGAGAGTTGAAATTTTCCACAAATATTTTCTATGGTATTGAAAATGGTGCACGTTTTTGCATAGCCCCCATACAAATAGCCCCCCGAAAAACAACCTTAACAGCCATACTTGTTTTAAAAATGCGAGTATAGCGATGAAATTCGACATTAAAATGTCCTATATGAGCCATGTTCTCTCTACCAAATTTTATGAGAATCGGTCCATAATTGACCCTACCCCTCATATATGGTCCCTTCCCAAAACTGACTTTAACGCCCAATACTGGCTTAAAAATACGTGTCTAGCGCTGAAATTTTATTTAAGTAAGTTGTAAGAACAAGCAACAATCTATCTACCGAATTTTATGAGGATCGGTCCACAATTAACTCTTACACACATATAAGGTCCCCTTCAGGAAATGATTTTAACGCACATTACTGGGTTAAAAATGAAAGTAAGAAATTCGATATACAGAAGTAAGTTTCCTACAAGCCAATATATCTCCACCGAACTTTACAATTGACCCTACCGCCCATATGTATATGTTCATAGTTTAAAAGTTGGACAAAAATATTTTGTTTTTAAAAATTATTTGTTAATCCGAAAATATTTTGTTAATCCGAAAGGGATGTGTCCCAATTCAAATATCAACCTAATGTTTATAGGGGAGAATTCCATATACGACATACGGTTTGATGGGTGGGTATATAAGATTCGGCATGGTCGAATAAAACACTCTTACTTGTTTCAAATTTTGTTTGGGATTTACGTTTACATCAGTTATTTATGCAGAATATCATCGTGTTTATAAGTGAATTTTAACCATAAAGTCATTTTCTGAAGGCGACTTTGTATGGGCAATAGTGTAAAATGAGGCCCGATCATTACGAAAATAGTATTATTAAGGCTTATATAAAACTAAGTTTTGCCGATTTTTGAAGTAAACATTTAAGATATTTATGAGCTCAAAAGGCCTATTCGGGGGTATGGTTGTATGGGAGCTATACTAAATAATGGACTGATTTTCAATAGGCTTCGTCTTTGGTCAATTGCATCAAATTGCCTTGAAAATTTCGATCTATAGAGTGCGCACAAGGTTTACATGGACACACAGACAGGCATACTAAATCGACTCAGAAAGGGATTCTGAGCCCGATTGTATACTTTAGGGTGTAATATAATATATATATATATACTATATATATATATTATATATATATATTATATATATATAGGTAGATATATATATATATATAGTATATGTATATCATATATATATATATATATATTATATATATATATATATATACTATATATATATATATATATAATATATATCTGGCATATCTCTATATCTATTATATATATATATATTTATATCCTATATACTATCTCTCTCGTCTCTCTATATCTTTCTTCTATTCTACTACTATCTCTCTTTCAGTCTCTGCTCTCTCTATCTCTCTCTCTCTCTCCGTCTCTATCTCTCTCTCTCTCTCTCATCGTCTCTCTCTCTCTCTCTCTCTCTCTTTTTTTTTTTTTTTTTTTTTTTCTACTACCCTTTTTCTCTTTCCTGCTGTAACATCCATACTTAAAGTAATCCAAATACTAAAGTAAAAACTAGGAGTTTTCATATAAACGTTCAAAAGCCTCGCAAACTGTGCAATCTGTGCATTTTCAATTTTGCATTGAATTTGTCACAAATTGTGTTGGATTTTACTTCCACAACACTGATACATTTGATTGCATATTTGAACTGAACATTTTAAACTAATTTTTTTCTTTGTAATAATGCAGATAGCCATGTGTGCAAATGTGCAAGTTTGCACACGTGTTTCATGAATCCCCTTACTTATTAATGCAACATTTTAAATTATATGAAAGAAAAAATTCAAAAAAAACTCTTTACGAACTAGTGAAATAAACCGTTTTTGCTCACCAGAAAATATTTGTTATTTGAAATGGAGACTATTGAATATAGTCCCTCGATATTACTATAAAGTTTTTTCTAGTACATAAACTAACGTCCATACTTTAAGTAATCCAAATACTAAAGTGACAACAATATGTACGTTTAAAATTTCAATCAAACTAACTTCATTATTATAACTTTTTGCAATAGGATCATCTTTCATTATCTAACAACCTACTACTCTACACATTTGTACATGTGCCTAATGTAGGTGGATTGAAAAGGAAATCTTAAAGATTATTTTTTATAATTTATCTTTAGCCTTGATGTTGCTACAAAAACAAAAAAGGTTAAATATATTGTAAATATCCGGCCTACAAATGAAGCAACATCGAACTTTAAAATCTTGTCATAAATTCAAACAACAGAAAAAAATCTCAGTTTGGATTTTTTTGTTTGTCTTGTTCTTCTTTTTCATTTCATCGGTTTGTGGATGTGTTGAGATACGAAACAACAACTATGTACATATGTATGTATGTATGTATGTTTGTACAATGTAGAACATTTTTATAAGGCAAATATTTCTGTTTAAGATAACTTAGATTGTTTATTTGTTTGATTGTTTTTCTTTCTTGTTTAATCAAAATCACCAAACACATGCAGTGATGATGATGAGATGATTATATATATTTTTTACTGAATTTTAAACAACAGAATATTTAAAGAACTTTATCCTTTCTTTAAATAAAATCAAAAACTGTAGTAGATACGATATTGTATTCGAAAAGCATAGGAAAATTGCTACATCAATGTTTTAGCAGCTTTCTTTTGGCTATATATACGTATATATTTGCGATAGAAAAAGTTTAACAATATGAATTTATATACATATGTATGTATGTATGTAACCATGTCATACACTATTAAAGACATACATTTACTCATTTTTTGTAATAACACTTTAGAGAATACTTATAGCTGGTGTAAGGTACAATATACTTTCTTCGAAGTATTAAAAAACACTCTAATATTTTTTTATAAACCCTTTTTGGCAAACATTTAAAACATTTGTTATTTGTTTAAATGGAAATTCTATAATCCTTATTAAGCTTTGATAAAATCTATTATCTAAATATATCATGTTCTTACAAAGATTCATAATAGCCATGTGAGCATGTAGAACTTATTTTCAGTTTCTGGATATGCTTATAGCATTTATTAAATATGTATATTCAATGTCAGTAAGCAGAATATCTGCACTTATAAACACATACTTATTAGGATGAATCCAAAGAAGAAATGAAGATGATTATGAACAGATACATATATAAGTTTGTTATTTCGTTTGTAATTTAATATATAATATAATTCTCTGACAGACTCCGTCTATGTCTGTGTGTATGTTGAAAACAGATATCTGCGATATCCGAATCTTCAATAATTCTATCAGACATACATACTTTCGGGAAGCAAAATCGGTACTTTTTCGTTTTACAACTGTTATTATTATTTTTTTTTTTTTGTAATAAAATTCGTACTGACTGTTTTTAAACACACTGTGGTGAAGGGTATATAGGATTAGGCACAGTCGAATATAGAACTTTTACTTGTTTATTACCTAATTTACCGAGCAGGGTAACTATGACCATACGCCCGTTGTAGTGTAGCAGACCAGAGTCTCTAGTGGGAATCAAACCCACAACCCCCATACTGACAGGCTTGCACACTACCAACTAGCCCACCGGTCACCCGTCAATAACAGTTATATTTTAGCAAAAATTGGATACAATATTTATGATTTTTTAATTAACAAGTTTTTATTAAATTCTTTTTACACATAAACTTTGAGCCAACAAGCATTTTGGTGCCATCATAATATTCATATTTAATATGCAAATTTATGATTAAAAGAATTTTCTTTTCTTTCATTATGTTAAGTATTTAATGCAATTTTCTGCGCTTATTTTTTGTATTTTAAGTGTATGATAAATAGTGTAATAAAATTTTATATAAAAATAAAAAAAAACGTTTCTTGTCTACTGGCATTTGTGACTTAAAGTTTAATACGATCAATAAAAGCAGCTGACGTATTTTTTTTAAGAGGAAATATAGATTTGAAATAACTATAAAATACATTCATATAGAAATAGTGATAATTTATTGTTATGAGCATGAATGGAAAATCTAGGGAATCAATTGAATTGTTAAATGTATTAAAGAAAATAACATGAAAGCATGTAACATGAGGGGAGGTTAAGTGAAATTGGGGAATTATTGGTAGCAATTCTATTCGTTAAAGGAAACAAATACATATGTATGTGACCTATACTTTGAAAAAAAAAAGGACGGAAATTAATAGCTTAACAACTTTTAACATAGATTTTTTTATGTTTTCCTTGGTAAAATAGTCAAGGCTTTAAACTGTGTTATAATAATCGCTTAAGGCGCATTAAGTCGGTTTATAATAATAGGCCTTCACATATACATACATATACTAGGATGGCACCAAACCAAAAGTGAATTTTCCAACAAACACAGAATTTCTTTATCGG